CACCAACTTCGATCCGATCTTACTGATCACATTGAACATGTCTACATTCCAACTCTAGATAATAACTAGTTAATTTCGAATTGTCGTTAAGATTTAAATTATGTTGTCTTTTTTTAAGTGTAGTTTTTTAATTATCGTGTTTTATAATTTTTGTGTGTTTTTTTTTATTTGTAGTGTGGTTTTTTAATTAAATGTTATTTTAAATATTAATTTAGAAATTTTTTTTTTAAATTAGCAAAAAAAATCAAAAAAATGTTATGTTTTATTTTAATTTATATTTTCTAATTTAATTAAATAAAAAAGAATATTAAATGTTATTTTTAATATTATTTTAGATTTTTTTTGAAGTTAGCAAAAAAAATGAAAAAATAAAAAAAATTGATATGGAAAGTGGGTTGAGTGGGTTGGGAAAGATAGGGTTTCCATATGGTGTGGGTTGGGAAAGATAGAAGAAAAAGAAAGTAAAAAAACTGATGTGGCAGTGGGTTCAGTGGGTTGGGAGGGAAGGACTCCCTCCTCCCTAAGGGAGGACGGAATCGTTTCTCTCCTCCCGCTCAAGCCGTTGGACCCAAGGTGAAGGGAGTCGAACTCGCCCAAGCCGGATGTCTCCCAACCCGTCTTCCCCAAATTTCTTCTTTGGTTTCAACCTCCAGCGGGTTCCTCAAACCGAAACACCCTTCTCTTTCTATATTGCTCTCTTCCCGCTTATCCCTCTCCTCCTCCAGCCCGCTACGACTCCTTCCCCCCTAAGGTAAATTTGATTAGGGTTGTTCTTGGAGACGGTGATAGAATGGTGGTGACCGTTGGTCGAAGGCAAAAAAAATCAACGATTGATGATGATTAAATAGAGATGAATGATGGTGCGGTGGTGTATTTGATCGAGGGAAAGGGATGACAATTTGAATGAGTCAATCCATTCTGAATGGGTCTTGCAACGAGTAGTTTTAGCAAAAATATGAGGAATATCTGGTTGAATGAGCTGGAGGCCGCCTTTTCTCTTGACTTTTTCATTTTTGTTGACCAAATAAATTTAATTAATAAATTCATTGTATATATCGCAATAAGGTTTGTACGGGTTAAAATTCAGCATTTGATTAAATATGTTTTATAAGGTATAATATATATATATATATATATATATATATAATATATATATATATATATAATCAGGATCACATGAGGACTCGTAAGGACACCTTAAAATTTTGAAAAAAAAAATACAAATCATAAAATCGAGCATAGTACTATATTAGGTTTGATGAAATTATTTACCGAAAAAATGTAAAAGAAATGTAATTTACCCAGGTTCTTTACACGTAAAGAAATGTCATTTACTCAAAACAATAAAACCAAATCTCGATTTATAAACATCCTATTTTCTTTCAATTGAAAAGGGTTCATGTTCACGATATCACTCCCTTGAGTCCCTGAACTTTCTATTTTTTACAAAATGTTCAAAATGGAGTAATTTATCAAAGTGACTAATATGATCTCATTTCTCAAACTTATTAACTAAATTTTGCAATAAAGAATTTAGATAAAATCTCAATAAAATTTGCAGAAACGTTTTTCAGTAACATTATGAATTTCAAATATAAGATATTATTTTGATGAAAAGAAGGTAATTTCTAATGTTGTTTATGATATGAAGCGATCATTAAACACTTTTAAAATCCATAACATATCACAAAAAAATAAACGGACTTTATTAACCCTGTCATTTGGGTCATTTTTGGTATTGACTTCCAAAAATGACGTCGTATCTTCTCATGTGCATTTATAACTCACCCATCAATCAAACAAGACTTTGGAGCATTCAGCTTTTTGATGAGAAAAGGGGACAAGGATCAATCATTTAGAATCCACAATTTCCATAAGCTCTTACATTTTGTGTGTGCTTCACATATCTGGAAACTAATGTGTGAAAGAATCAGACTAAACTAGTTTTAAAATATTAAGAATTACTTTTCAGTAATGACAATTCAACTCTCTATCTGAAAGGGCAAAGACATATGTCCATTGTTGTTTGCATGATCCAACTTTTCCTGATAGAATTTGAGAGCATTTGAAGCTTCTGGCTCATATCTTTTCAATCTCTCGATGAATGCATTCTCTGTACCTTTCAACCACCAACTAATACCACAGTAATTTTTATCATTCATCAATCCATTGTCCAAACAATATTGGTAAACCAAACATCTCGGGATAATCCTTTTCTCCATACTCAATGAAACAAGAACAGAATTCTTTGCAATAAGTGATGTCTCAAACCCCATCTTGCTAACAAGAAACTCCATCACTTTATCAATTTTCTCCTCCGACATCATCAAACACACTGGACTACTCCTAAAGGCTACCAAGATCTGGGCTTTAGACCAACCCCATTTCTCATAAATCTCCATCTTCTTCTCCCTAGTCGACTTGCTCATTGACATAAGCGTGTGAATCCCTAACACAAAAGCTGTTTTCAAAGGATCAAAACCCATCTCCATTATTTCCTCCACCACCTTTTTGAACTGCTCTGTAGTAGCTAAAAAATTTCTAGGCTGGTAATTCAATAGATGAAATATTTTGGATCCAGGCACCCCAACATCATGCAATATTTGCATATTTGGAATCATATTTGCTTGGAAATCCGCATCCAATACCAAGGCACACTTCCTGATTGCACGGAGTGTTCTATCGTTGCATTGAAGCAAATTTAAAAGTGAACTATACGTTGGTTCTATGTAATTCTTCAAGTTTTTACCTAGTAAGTTGGGTATTCCATTTAATAACTTAATAATATCAGATTCCGAAAGTCCTATAGAAGCTAAGAACTCGAATTTAGGCAAAAGATTTTTTTCGGGATGACATGTGAGAGCCGTAGGGTTCTTTCGGAGTAATTGAGAAATTTGGGTTTCTGTAAACCCCTGATTCTTGAGAAGTGCTATCACGGAGTCTGCTCGATCTGGGGTTTTGAACTTTAAGTATTTGGAAGCTGAAATTGCCTTGTCTGTAGGGAATCCGCATGAGTCTATGAGGTAAGAAACTCTGAACGAGTTATCTGAAGCTTCTGGTGACGAAGATGATGAGCGAGGAAACAGTCTATGAACCGATGTTGTTTTGAACAAAGAAAATGTTAAGTTTCTGCGGGCGAGATTCAACATTGTGGATAGAAATCGTAAGGATAATGAAATCACTGACCTGTGGATTTAGGGTACGACCTGTATGCGATTTGAGGTTTCGGATTTTGTGCTAAAATCTGTAAAATCAATTTTCACTCGAAGAACCCTAAAACAAAACCCCAACATCTCTAGCTAGAAGAAGGGTTTTTCAACTTCACTTTTAAATCCCCTCAACTTACTGTTTTAATAATTTTCGTATAACCTAAAAAGATTATGGGATAATGATTTTAATTTTTACAGGATAACACATTATTCTTCCTATATGTATTTTCGATGTTTTAAAAACTAGCCGATTGAATCGAACGGACCGAAAATCTAAAACAAAAGCGATTCAACAACGGCTGGTATTATACTGATTTCTAAACCGGACAATTTCTTCAACAAATGGGTTGAATCGGTTTGATAGAACCGGAAAAAGATCGTTTAAACTGGGTTATTGGACTTGGATAGTTGATTTCATTTAGCCATTAAAAAATAGTTTATTTCCAAAGAAAATTGAATAGCTCAATCGATTAGGTTATCCGGAGTGTACACAACTTAAAGGTCGAACACACATCACTGTCTGTCAGATTTAGACTGACGGTTGAACAGGTAACCAATCATTAGACCAATTTAACTGAAAAATTGGTTTTTAAAACATTGTTGATTTTAGCTACTCGAGATAAACTGAAAAACTGAGATGAATTGAACGAACTAAGGCTGTGTTTGATACCGTCTGACTGGGCCTGAGTCAGACATTTGGGTTGACTCGGGCATACATTGACTGTTTGATGATATGCTTTCTCGGTCAGACGTCTGGCCCAAATGTCTTACCCGGTCAGCTTTGTAACATATGCTGACTGGGAATAAAGACACTCCTACCCTCTGTTTTCTTTATTCCCTTGTTACCCTTTTCTTTCTTCCCTTGTTACTCATTCTTCAATCGTAACCTAAAAAAAAAAAAAAAAGCCCAGACACAAAAATCGTCGCCTCCTCCATCGACAGCTCCTCGTCATCTCGCCGGTCGCCGCCATCTAGCTGCCGTCTCGCCACCATCTCGCCGACTAAAGAGAGCTCGCCATCTCCGATCAGTTTCTCTTGATTTCCCTGTCATTCACGATCACTGTAATTCATCAAAAACGGGTAAGCTAATCTTCTCATTTTATGTTAATAATTTTTGAAATCAGAATCGGTTATGCTATGATGTTATGCAATCTTATGTATAATCTATAAAATCAGAATCCGATTTGCTCTAATAAATCTGAAATTGATGTTATACAATAGCTTATGAGTATTGTAAAGTGAATGAATTGAGTAAAGCCATGGAGGTTGTTGATAGATTAGAGAAGAAGTTATGGGTTAGAATCGGTTATGCTTTCATCTCCTGCAACTTCATCTTCTTGAGATCTTCCCATTTCAGTGCTTCCTGTAGCTTGAGCGCTAGACTTTTCTTTCTTGTCTGCCATTGTTGTTCACAAAGTTGCAGCTTTCCGTGTATCAAATTGCGTAGAAACGGAAGAAGAATCATGTGGACGGTGTTGATGATGCATCATGTGACATCCCCATTTTCACCGCCTGAAAAGACCGATTTGTTTATGCTTTATTTTGAAAATCAGAGTGTCTTTTAAAGAAATATGTTGCGGAATTTGTTCCCAGAAAACATGATAAATACGTTATCAAAGTATTTCCAAAGAAATGTATTTTTATCCATTTTAAAACATTTGGGATGTCACCGTCAATACAAAAACATAAGCATAAACAGAACTTACATTCATTATCACTAGTGATTTATATCTCCTTAATCTCTCAGTGTAATGTAACTTCATATCGACACATGTGATACAAATAAACTGAGTGGGTCAGGTTGGGAAACCTGGTGAGTACATAGGGATTTCAATCCCACAATGTTATATCATATATATAATTTAGAACTCACAAAATATACAATTTCACCATATATATATATATATATATATATATATATATATATATATATATATATATATATATATATATATATATATGTAAGCAACTCTTACCCACCCCGTTAATCCTCACAACGAGACTATCCATACTCTCGGACCTAAGATTAACCGTTTTACCTAATCCATACTCCCGGATCAGAAATGAACGACTTTACCTAATCCATACTCTCGGACTAGGGACGAATGACTAATCCATACTCTCGGATTAATGACGAATGATTATGCCTAATCCATACTCTCGGACTAGGGACGAATGACTAATCCATACTCCCGGATTAATGAAGAATGATTATGCCTAATCCATACTCTCGGGCTAGGGACGAATGATTATGTCTAATCCATGCTCCCGGATCGATGACATATTTTAAAGTTCTATTCTTTGTGTATAACTCACTCGTACTCATAAGAAGATACTACCTAATATTCCCCATAATTAATTTAGGTTTACTCTTTATCCTAAATCATCATATATAATCAGGTACGTTCTTTAACACGTATTTCAGACAACATCAATTAACTCGCACATAAACATATAATTAATACTTTAATCAATACTTGTATTAAAATCATGTTCATGAAAGGGACTATGCACTCACCTGAGAAGGTGGTGACTCGGCACTCGGACAGCACTTCGTTACTCTTAACACAATTTTCCTCGGACAAAACCTAGTATCATTACCACCAGAGTTTAGTCTAATATTCACCGAGACTAATTAATAGTCTAGCTATTATTACTATTATATAATCGTTAAATGATACTTATACAACCCATAATAATAGCCCAAGTACTTATTATAAGTTGCTAATAACATTACTATATTAGAACATAAGCTATACTAAAGATAGGTTAGGCGTAGCTCACTTACAGCGGGTTTTCTCGAAAACCGGGCTTCGCTGGAGCAGCGTTCCCGAGCCGAAAGGCTCTTCTTTTCGGAGCCGTCGGGCGCTCCGGGCTTCCGCCTCGTGCTAGGGAGGTTCCCTAGGCTTTTTGGGGGGTTTGGGGGCTTAGAGAGAGGTTCTAGAGAGAGAAAGAAGTGGGTAAAGGTGTGAGGAATGAGCTTCACCCGACACCTCTATTTATAGGCTGCCTGGGGGGTCACCACGTCGTGGTGTTGCGTAGGCTCCAAGGTTTCGCCTGGTGCTGACACGTGGCATCGCACACAAGGTGGAAATCAGCCGATTTTCAAAAATTCATAACTTTCGCATACGAGCTCCGTTTTCGACGTTCTTTATATCCACGCATAGGTAAAAATAAGATCTACAACTTTCATTTTGACTCCGTCGGCTAATTCTCGACCGATCTTAAATTTAACAGTACGAGGAGATTATACTGTTAAATGTCCGCGTAAAATTCATAACTTCTACATACGGACTCTGTTTTCGTCTGTCTTTTTACCGTTGAGTTCCTATTAATGAGATCTTCAATTCTCATTTAGGTCGCGTAGGCCAAAAACCGCTCGATCTAAAATTCGAGTTTCGGGCTGTGCACTGCTAAGCCAAATCTTAAAAAATTTATAACTTCCTCATACGAAGTCAGATTTGGGCGTTCTTTTTTTGTATGTTCTCGGTTTAACGTATACTACAACTTTTGTTTAGATTTCTAAGGCTAAAAAGTCATCCATCGTAAATTCACTATTTACGTCTTCCGGTGCCGTGCCGGTTTTGCCGAAAACTTCGACGGGTCATAACTTCTTCGTTATAACTCGGATTTCGGCGTTCTTTATATGTACGGAACCCTTGTAATATATACAACCATTTGGAAAAGATTAATCCTTCTAAATAATCTTCCATCAAAAACTCATTTTTGATGTTTATTGTCTCTAAATTGACTAGCTCGGATCTGCGGGCGTTACACATCAAATGACTCATTCATAACATTATATACGTAATAAATGATGAGTATAAATTCTAGGTGAAGTTAGGTGTTGTTCCCCATGTATACCATATCATATAGGTATGGATAACGCTTTCAACATAAATTCATAGCCAGGATTTTGAACTTTATATATATTAATATTAATATTTTTTAAATTAAAATTGTTTGGTGGCAAGTATCTTTCTAAAGTTTTTGAGAACTTATGAAGTTTTTGAATATTGTTTGGATATATGTCGGCAATGTTGACCTTAATTGTGCTATTATTATTTAGGATGATGTTGATTTCATTAGTAGAAAATTGTTTTATGTTTAAAATTGTTCTTGATCATGATAAAAGTTATGATAAATTACTTTTAATATTAATGTTTTAGGATGTTGGTTTGGAACGAGGGTAAAATGGTCATTTGTCATCAGTCAGCACATCGTCAGATGTACAATCAAACAACATTATTTCTTACTCAGTCAAGATTTCTTACCCAGACAGACCTTTCTCAGTCAGCACTTACTCAGTCAGCAACTATCAAACGAGGCCTAAAACTGGAAAAATAAGATTTCTACGTGTCGATATTTAGATATTTATGGATATCCGAACCTAATATTCTATAATTAGTATATGTGTATAAAATATAAAAAGAAAGGCACGGCCCAAATGATAAAATGAAGCCTCAAGTCCAAGATCCAGTAGTCTTTCAAGTTTCAATATTGGTTGGTGTCTTGACGTCTTGGCGTTTTGCTCCTGCCTCCTCTTGGGCTTTGTTTAGAAAAAATAGTTAGAAACTTTTTGGTTTATGTGGAAATTGGAACGTTATACTCTCTGACTATTTATTTTATTGGAAAACAATATTTGATGATCATTTTTTCTGGAAAACATCATTTTCATTTCTGACTTTGACTTTGATTTTTTGTATTAGTAGTGGCAAGTCTAAAACGTAAAACCACATGATTAACTATTTAAATGAAACCGATAGAAAATGAAAAATATCAAAAAATACTACTTGTGGTTCCGGATCGGGTCGGGTCTTACAAGAAAAAAATTGATTAAATTTCTTACAATTGTACTCGACGATGTCTTATATCTTGATATATTTTCACAATTATATCATTATTAATAATTTTTAATATATTTTTTTCAATATATGACACCAAATAGGCGCAATTTGACCAACGATTGTGAAGGATCGATGCGCCACATGTGTGGTGTGAAACGTGATGTTGATTCACGTTTGTTTCTTTTTTATTTTTTTTAATTTAGTTTGTATTGGGCTATGTATATTGTATTATACCTTCAAAAAATTTGGGCTATTAAAATATAGAATATGGGCCTTAAAATATGATTTATACTCTTTCTTTTTACCAATAGTTCACTTAAAATGATTAAGGTGTCATATGATTTTAATTATATATAACCTATTATAATAATAAAAAAAATAAGGTAGGTCAAAGTGATCTACCTTATTAATATGTAGTCTCGCCATTGTTAGTAGGTATTACTTGTGGACCGGACCGCGGTTGCTCAGTTTGGTTCGGCTTCGGATAGTGCAAGTGATGGAGGAGGTCGATAACGATGGGTCTTTAAACCCCCTTGTGTGTGTCTGTGTATAAGACTTAGGTACCAAACAAGCAACAAAATGAAACTACAAAGATTGCTCATGTAAAGAAATGAAAAGTTGAACAAAAATTGTTACTTTTTGTAAAAAGCAGGATCTATTTTTGTAGAAAATAGACCCATCTAGTCCTTATATTCTCTATTCTCTCCTTGCATTCCTCCTTGAAAAACTTTCCTTCATTGTTGATTGATTGGTTGATTGAACGAGTGATTGCAACTCTTTGTTATATCATTTACATAATCTTTTATATTCATAGTTATTCAAAACGACAACAACTTTTCAATAGCTTTTAGGGAAATATGAAGGAACCCAGATATTATAGAGTACAAAGCTTTACCTTATCGCTAAAAAAAACATATCATGAGTCAATGTTCATCAGCCGACTATGTCTTCAGAACACCATTTTTGAAAATTAAGTATTCATCAATTTGCAAGCCAAACATAGCATACATCCCCAACATACCAGTCTTCCATCAAACAAGTTCAAGAATGTTATTTTCTTATTCAAAAGCTTATCAGAACTCTTATATGTTCAACTTCCAAACTGTGTAACATGGATCATAATTCATCAGCTAGCTAAGTTTCCCAAATGCCATTTTGTTTGAAAATTAACTAGTCTTAGCATATAGATCAAACACTTTCAAGAATGTTTCTTATTCAACAGCTTTATCAAAATCCAATGGCAGACATACCATTCCCAAAACAATAGCAGTAAATATCATCAAATCTACAACAATTAATTCAAAAATCCTCATGTACCCCTCTCTTTGTTGTGACTAACAATTTAACCTCATTAATATACTTCAATTGCAGTATAATTGTATAAATTTGCAAAAATGTGGGAATTAGTGACACATACCCAATGATGAATCAATCTATGAGGTTGGAACTGCCTCTTGCCCCTCAATCTGATTTGTAGCTTCTTCGGCAAGCTTCTTCTTGTTCTTCTCAATAGCATTAGCTACCTCAGCAGGCATATACTTCTCATCGTGCTTCGCCAACACCTCACTAGCAGAAAAATAACACTCAACGCTTCTCGCCTTTCCAGATACACTCTTTTCTGTGGCTTCCTTCTTGATTTGCTCTGTAATTGGCTTCACAAAACCTTCAACAACAACCGAATGACCTTCCCTAAACAAATCAGGCACTTGCCCCTCGTATCTGACCAACATGTCTGTAATCAGATCGGTAATAACAAACTCGATCTCATGGGACGCCGCTGGATGAGCTACGCTGCCTTCTAGGACTAATCCACCGAGACGGAACTTGTTTTTGTTAGGGTTTTCTGCGTATTTAGATAAAGCATCAGTGGGTGTAACGTAGAAGACTAATTGGTCCTCGAATTGGTTCAGTACGATGATGATGAATCCAGCGATGCAGCTGAAGGTTATGGCGTAAGTCCAGAGTCGCCGGTTTTGCATTTGGCGAGCACGGGCACCGATGTCGATTTTGGTTGGGCGAGTTGGGTGGCGCCGGGCGGTAGAAAAGAAACGGGAGGCGGAGGACAGCAGGCGGAGGTGATCGGATGGTGAAAGTTTAGATTCGAAGAGAGATGAGATCAGAGGTGGATATGGAGAATTGGGAATTGTAGTAGAGATTGTACGGGGATTTGAGTGGTGAAAATTAGGGTTGGTATTGCGAAGAAGACGAGACACGAATCTGCAGCTAAGCCGAGAAGCCATTGATTGAAATCCCGTAGGAGTTTCTAGGGTTTTAGAATCAGATCGAGAGAGATGGAATTACTCCCCCAGCCGATAACAGATCCCACACTTCCTCTTCCGCGTTTTTTCATATAATATACCAGTAAAACTAAAGAATGGTCTTATTAGGTTCACTTTAAGCTGAATTTTTTATTAAATCGTAAAATATATTTTAGACATACATAATAATTTATTATATTTTAAATGGTAATACTGTATAACTATATAAAGCATATTTTATTTTAAAAAATGTTATGTACCCTAAAATAAAGATTAAAAAGAAAGACAAAAATATTAAATTACATAAAAGGTCTACGGTTTTTTAGATCAGACAATTTCATTCCTTAATCCTTTTTGGGAAAATGACTTATATGGATAACTATGTTTCAAAATCGTTCAAAAAATATCATTCAAGTTTGGTGTGTCCAAAAAACACCATCCAAGTAAAGCATTTGTATAAAAAACACCAACGAAGTACATTCTTTGTTCAAATTTGACCTTTAGTGACTGGCAATTACCGGTAAAAAATAAGTAAAGGAAAAAAAACAATAGGAAATGACTCAAAGAGGTAACTATGTTTCAAAATCGTTCAAAAAACACCATCCAAGTTTGGTATGTTCAAAAAACACCATCCAAGTAAACTTTTTGTACAAAAAACACCAACAAACTATATGTTTTGTTCAAATATTACCCACCGGTAATTGGTTCTTACAGGTTAAATGATAACTTGGTTTAACTATTACGACATGACATAATAATGATTGACAAAACAATAAATGATATATTCCTCCTTTAAAAACCGATGTAGGGTTTCTTCATGAACGAATGACTTATTCTTCTCCTATGATTGCTCGTCTTCTTCTAAAGTGATGATTTTGAACTCAAGTCCAAAACCCTAACTCTTAACTTAAGGGAAAAAGGGTTCCTTTACCCCAGCCTCAATGGGCCTCCCTCCTCCTAAGGCCCAAATCCATAAAAAGCCCAAAAAGGCATCCAAGCCCAACTACAAGGCATCTAAGGCCTAATATGGCCCAAGAACCCCCAACATGGCCTTAAGCCCAAAAAATGACCTGCTACAATCAGGTGGGCCCGATGCCTAACTTAAACAAGTCCATTCATACGCCCAACATATGTTGAAGCCTCTGCGATCTGGATTTCATGCAAGTATGCCCGACGTACTCCTACGTACGCCCATCGTACTCTGCTAGGCTCAAGAACCGCCAATCTTCTGAAGGCCATAACCCTCAGTATGGCTGTCTGATGCCTAAATTAGCTCTCGTAGATATAAATAATGACGAAATCACACTTAGAATGAAGAAGTATGGCCTTCGGAAGATTGGTGGTTCTTGACCCTAGCCGAGTACGTTGGGCGTACGCTAGGATTACGCCGGGTGTACTGGCTCGACATCCGGATATGATGGGACTATGCACAGACTTGTTTAAGTTAGGCCTCGGGCCCACCTGATTGTAGCAGGTCATTTTTTGGCTAAGGCCATGTTGGGGGTTCTTGGGCCATATTAGGCCTTAGATGCCTTGTAGTTGGGCTTGGATGACTTTTTGGGCTTTTTATGGATTTGGGCCTTAGGGGGAGGGAGGTCCATTGAGGCAGGGGTAAAGGAGCCCTTTTTGCCTTAAGTTAAGAATTTGGGTTTTGGACTTGAGTTCGAGATCATCACTTTAGAAGAAGACGAGCAATCATAGGAGAAGAATAAGTCATTCGTTCATGAAGAAACCCTAAATCGGTTTTTAAAGGAGGAATATATCATTTATTGTTTTTTCAATCATTATTATGCCATGTCATAATAGTTAAGCCAAGTTATCATTTAACCTATAAGAACCAGTTACCGGTGGGTAATATTTGAACAAAACGTATAGTTTGTTGGTGTTTTTTGTACAAAAAGTTTACTTGGATGGTGTTTTTTGAACATATCAAACTTGGATGGTGTTTTTTGAACGATTTTGAAACATAATTACCTCTTTGAGTCATTTTCCTATTGTTTTTTTTCCTTTACTTATTTTTTACCGGTAATTGCCGGTTACCAAAGGTCTAATTTGAACAAAGAATGTACTTCATTGGTGTTTTTTGTACAAATGTTTTACTTGGATGGTGTTTTTTGGACACACCAAACTAGAATGATATTTTTTGAACAATTTTGAAACATAGTTACCCATATAAGTCATTTTCCCATCCTTTTTTCTTTCAGGATTTATCATCTAGGTGCACTACCCTTGTAGGGTTGGTAATATCGTAGAAATATATTGTTAAATGTTTGTAAAAAGACCAACTTACCTATGTTTTGTCTTTTTGATTTTTTTTTTTTTGAAACGGCAAATCTAACATACTCCTAAACTACATCTTAAATCCACCTATGTCTACGACGGGACTTGAACCCTCAACCTCAAGGAGGGAGGACAACACCGGATACCGCTAGGCTAAAAGCCCGTCTAGCTCAGTTGGTAGAGCGCAAGGCTCTTAACCTTGTGGTCTTTTTGATATATCGTAATTTTATTTTTTTTACTTATTTTGTATTATTATTTTCAAAGAACCCCACCCACCCTAATCTCCTATCTTTCTCTCATTGTCTGACTATCACTCTCTCTGAATCACTATGGGTTAGTGCATTGTAATCTATCATTTCGTATAAAAATACATCTTACTATAATCATAAAATGCCACTCAATTTACCCCACCCACCCCACGCTCACGTTATGTGTCGAGTTGTTTGACTATATCCATAATAAGCTTCGTCTTAATGCTTATATCTTTCTCACGAGCCACTTCATCAAGACTAGCCTCGCTCAAAGAGGGTTCAAGTGATTTAACTTTAGCGGAAAATAGACATCTTTGATCAACTCCGATTTTGTATCAGTCAACAACAAACATTGATCATCAGCATTTTTCAGCCTTGATTTCAATACATCTTGCTTCATTTCATCGATCAAAGTCAATTATGCTTACCAATTATTCGAATGAATATGCAAAACTTAAAAAGAATTATATAGGGCCTTGATATTGTTATTAATTTTCGGATTAATTATTGTTGGTCTCAAGATAAAGGCAACAAATTTTGGTTGAGTTAAAAAACTCTAATCCTTACTTAATAAAAGTAGAATTGAAAGGAAAAATACAAAAAATTTGTTATTTATATATATATATATATATATATATATATATATATATATATATATTGGATTTTAAGGAACGGAGGAAAAGAAAATTACATTTTTATGTATAGTAGGAATATTTTTGGGTTTTAAAAGAAAAAAGTAAAAGAAATACAATAAATGTATTTCCAAGGGTATTTGTTGGTTAAAAGATTAAAAAATATAAAATTAGAAAAAATGAGTAAGTTTTGTGCGCTCAGAGCCATATCAAAGAAGAGTAGAAGGCATTCTTTGCGGTCTCTCTTACATTTTATTCTCGAGTTTAAAAAAAGGGGGGAAAAGTGGAAGGAAAGGGAGGGATTATCCCTTCCAATCATCATACATTTGGAGGGATATGTTCCAAGACAAAAATGTTTATCTTTTTCTTCTCCTTAAAAAAACTCAAGAACAACGGGTTTTTTTTCCTTTCATTCCTTTTTAAAGAAACTCAAGAACAGAGAGTTAATCTCTCCATGTCCAATCAGTTCATACAAAAGAAAAAAGAAAGATAAAGAGTCAGAGATGGGAGACAGAGTTAAGATTGAGATTGAGAGAAGAAAAGACGCAACAGCAACTCCACCTCGATGTTTTTGTTGGTGGCGGAGGATTGAAGCATTACTAGAGGCGTCAATTATGGTCACCCCTAAGGTGGCGGTGGTGGACGGATTTGGTTATGGTGATTAGATTTGTATAGTGTTATACCATTAAAGCCCTTATACACTTTGTGAAGATTGATTGTCGAAATTGAATCTAAAATTGTTAAATGCATGTTCGAATTAAGTTGGATTTGTGAATACTCCAAGAAATAAATTAAAAGCATTAGGGACATGTTTAATGCTAGTGAATACAGTTTTTGATAAATTGGTATTTAATAAATTTAAAGTATTCCTATTCTTGATATTGAATAAATTTGAATTATTAATATTCTTGTTATTGAATAAATTGAAATAATTGCTATTGTTAACAACTGTAAAATAAAAGTACCTGAATGAGTTGAATGAGTGGTTGAAAGTGAACTTGGAAACTAAAAAATGGTCTACAATGACGCACCAAGTAATTTATGTGTTTAAAAGACATTTATTGATAATTGATAAATATTTAAATAATAATTTGTAAGTTAATTAGTACTAAAAGATATAACTAATTTAATTATTTATAACTGATAAGTATCTATTAAACTATTAAGAATAATATAGTTAGTGAAATTGAGTAAACTAACAAATTGTTATGGGCAATTTGAAGAAATTAACCACTTAATTATCATTTTTGCAAAATGACCACCTACTCCCGATGGTCCATTCCAGAGATGAGTTATCCGCCCCAGGCGCCCAACCCATTTTGTATATGCTCACTACATATGACATTCTGGAATGTATGCTGAAATATCTTTATATTTCAGATTTAGTATGAAAAGAAGAAATAACATCTAATTCCATTGAGTTTGAGGTTTTACAGATTAGTTATTTGTTCATTTACATCTACTTATTTAATTTTTCTAGTTTAACTGAACACCCACCCTAAGTCTAAAACATAAATAATATGTTCCGAATGTAAATATCAGTTCTGGAATGTCATATTAATTGATACAAAGTGTCTTAGATAGGTCGTTATTTAGTCTTAATAGCGACCCAAAAGATTAGATAAGTAGTTAGGTTAACAATAGCAACCTACTAGTAATTTCAGAATGATTTTTGTATTCCAGAATACGAATATAGTCTTAGTAACGACCCAAAAAATTAGATAAGTAGTTTTTCTTAAAACGACAAATCTAATTTACTCATAAACTACTCCTAATTTCACTTATGTCTAAGACGAGACTTATACATAGACCACAAGTAATAAAGGTATCACCTAATATCGCTAGGTTAGAAACTGTTTGGAAGAAACTCAATGATTTAGTGTTGAACCGTTAAGATTTTATGATGCATGAACCATTAAGAGGCTTGAATGATTCATGTCGATATTTGGTAAAGTTGTTGAACCGATATGTTGAATGAAAAAAGTACCATTTTACCTTTCCGACAAAAACAACTTGCAAATGCACATAAAATAGGATAGTATTAAATTATTGATCACTTATATTATACTTTTTAAAAGAAATATATCAATAACATAAATTATATATATAATCTTTTCAAAAATGACATTTTTTAAAGGCACAAATATATAATAACAAACTAATGTAATAAATATATTAGTAATTAGAAAAATAAAAAAGAAAAAGAAAATTGGTTAACAGGGATGTTATACAGGGTGAGTATTTGGACGGGTGGACCGGTATCAATTTTATGTATTCGGGTCGGGTCTCGTTTCTTGGATTATCAATTTTGACAGCTCCAAGTATTGGACTGGAAATTGTACCATACGCAATGAAGAATGGACCAGTTCAATGCAATGAATGTGTCATACGCTTCATCAACTTGTACCATACGCAAAAAATGTTGTACATGTCCAAGAACCAGAAAAACCAGCACCGGTACAAATGCTCACTCTAGGTGTAAAGCCATTTGTTTTGTGCCTAGGTACAAACTAAAGGGTGAAAGGGAGCATAGTGAAAGTGAAACCAAGAGAAGAGAATGAACTTTTTTACATACTTTATATCCATATGATTTTGACCAGAAACACAACACAACACAACACAGACACAGTTCAACTTCATCACTGTTCTAATTTTCTACATATCTCCCTCTCCTTCTACGTAAATGGCAACACTTTCCATTTCCATCAACAACATCCTCAAGAGGCCTTTTTTTAGCAGAAAAGCTCTTGCCTCTCAACATATAATAATATAATAATAATAATACAAAAGGCTTTCTTACACTCTACTATTATAAAGATGAAGATGAAGATGAAGATGGTGTATTCTTCTTGGGTGTATAAAAACTCAACTCTGTAGTAAACCTATGTTGACTGACCTGAACTTGAAGACGACTGCTTTGACTTACTCCCGTTTTCTTCACCACTCAGCAAACGTGGTGGAGCCAAGTTGAACCCGTTTTCCTTGATGGATCCAAACGGGTCCTCTTTCTGTTTTTGGATTGCTTCTATTCGTTTTAAAGATGGAACGTTTCCGTTACAGTAGCCTCGCCACATGTCCCGGTAAGCGGATTCCAATCCGGTGATGAATTTGGATCCGTTGCAGAGAGGGGAATTGGACATGAGATTCCGGAGGTCCATTCTCAGGTTTGAGAGTGCAGTCATGTCTGAAGCTAATTCCAGTGCTGACCGGATATATTCTTCTTCGTTTTTTGCAACAAGGTGTTTTAATCCTGGAATTACAAAGTAAAATCAAATTTACTAATAAATAAATCAACTCTTAGCTTAGGTATGCCATAATCGAAAAGGGAATTATATTTATGGCAGAATGAAAAGGAAAACATTGTTTTTGTAACCGAATGTGATTTCTTCTCTTGGAGACAGGTGTAATTTTTTTTCATTCTGGAAATGAATAGTATATTATAGAGTAAATCACAATTTTGATCCTTGAGTATAGCTGTTGTTTTCAGTTTTGGTCCTAAAAATTTTACTCTTGCAATTTTGGTCCATGTTCCAAGTAAAATTACTATTTTCAAGACCAAATTTGCAATAGTCGCTGCTACGCAAGGACTAAGAATGGTCATTTTACTTGGAAAAGAGAATAAACTTAGCTTATACTTGGGGGCTGAAAATGTAATAGACTCTATATCACATCTATATACTACTCTTGTTTATATAATCTTCAATCTTCAATAACAATAATATTTTAGAAAAAAATTATAACTTCAGTTCAATTATTGTCTGTTATTTTTTCATTGTATTTAAATTTTTTTAATTCAAGTGATAAGTACACTTTTTTTTACTATTTGAAATGCATATAGTATATATTTCAGATGACAAGAAATATATTTATCTACAGTTTATTTAACGATATATATATTTATTTATTGAAGTCCATTACCTTGTTCATTCCATATTTCCATTCCAATAATCATAGCAAAGAGACTCTAAATAAATGTGAAGTGGAAAAATAAAGATTGAAGAGGTCTTACCAACTGCAGTTAAAAGACTGACACCAACATTATGCGCGTGTACTGACCCACCCATGGTGACACATGGCACTCCCATGTAAAGAGATTCACAAGTGGTTGTAGTTCCAGCATATGGAAAAGTATCCAAGCTACATGCATACATACAAAAAAATAAATATGTTTTTTTCTGCAACCATTTGAACATAATAAAAAAGGAAGATTGAAGATTGACCTGATGTCCATAAGAGAATAGGCTTGCATATGATCATGATTTAGCAGAATCAAAGGCAAAAGATCAACACGTAAAGATTCCAAACCTAATTGCTCCAATGTAGCCAGAAATCTCTGTCTTACACTATCACAGCAGAAAGGTTTGCACTTCACAATAAGCCGAGAGTTTGGAACTGCACATAAAATCTTCGCCCAAACTTGAAGCACTTTCGGAGTTATCTAATAGATACATCAATCAAATCAAAGTCAATGCTTGCTTTGTTATTAATGAATGAAAACAAACAAGAAGATATACATACATACATACATACATACGGATGAGATGAGAGTGTTTGTTTTTATATTATACCTTTGCTAAATTGTTGAAACTACCAAATGTAACAAAACCGTTTGAAAGAGCAGGTGCTGGTGATGCGGGACCCGCCTCGGGAGATGGTGTGTAACAAAGAAAACAGTCTGGTAACCGAACCAGGTCCTCAACATGCCTGCCAATAATAATACAAATATAAAATACTTGCATATACTTTACTTTATTATTTAAAATAAAACTTGTATGTCCGATCATTAGAATATAAAAGAATACAGATGGTTTGTTTGGTTCAATGGAATGGAATAAGAGAAAAATGGAATGAGTCCTTACATTCTGTGATCTTGTTTTGCTGGCCAGTAGGAATGGAATGAAATTTCACATAAATTTTTAATATTCTATAGTTTAAGTAAATACAGTGTATAATTTCAATTCTACTTTCTAAATTATTTTAATTATAACGAATCAACTTTTAGTTAAAAGATAAATAATTAAACATAGTAAAAGCTCACTAAAGAGTAACAAAAATTATACTTTTTAGTTATTTTAGAAAAAAAAATAAAATTGTAATTTAATTAAACTAAGAAATTTTATTTAAAAAAAAAATAGTTTCATTAAAAATAACATAAATAAAATTTGTGCTATATTGCAAATTCTCATTCCAATCCATTCCATGATGGACCAGAATAAAAAAATAACCCCCAGTAAAACATAAAGATTAACAAAATGCAAGGTATTGTATTCCTTAAGGAATGGTCCATTACATTTCATCGGGTAAAACAAAAGGTTTTTTTTCATTCCATTCCTTCTCTAATTCCATCATACCAAACACTAACTAAAAACATACTTTTGTTTTGTATCAGGAGGATCAGCTAAGGCATCAGTGATTCGGTAGTCAATAGTAGGCAAGCCAGTCGTATTTGGGTACCCAATCCAAGTCACCTATCAGTAAATGAAGCCAATAATCATCACTATACATATTTTACTCCATTTTTCATTAACAATATATGATAGACTTTCCTAATATGTTATCAAGAATATAACATTAATCTCCATGATTTTGTCATTAGATAAGAATACCTGAAGAGGTGCAGGCCTGCAAGCCATCATTCCTAGTTTATTATTAGCAGTATGACCAGTAAGCTCCACCAAAATATCAACTTTATCTTCACGAACCAAACTTGCAACTTTCTTTTCATCAATACCATAAATATCCCTCCATGCACCACCTCTTTTCAAAACCCTGTCTCTGAATTTCATAGTTTTTGCATCAGCCTGCACATGTACAACAAATATAAACATAAACTTTATAAATAAAAGCTGTTATATTTCTCATATATAAACACATATTGAACACGTACCTTAACAACCGCTGAGTAAACAACCACCTTATAATTAGCATAGTCATGATAAATAAGAGGCGCTTCAATGAAATAAGATACTGAGTGTGTAAAATAATCAGGAGACACGTATCCAATAACAAGTGGTCTTTCTGGATCTTTTGGATTCTCCCATGTAGTATATTGAGAATATAATCTCATGAACCGCTGCCCCCAGTCCCTACAACCATATAGACAAAAAAAATTACAAAAATGCCCTTGACATGAAATGGGTTAGAATTGGAGTTACAAGAACCTGTGAGCTTCAAATAGCTTTTCATCTGTTCCTTCATTAATGTAGTTCATTGCAAGTAAGCGATTCTGCAACAAATAGTCAACAGAAAGTCAACGTAAAGTCAACTAAACATTCACAATTTTAAAATAATACCTGGCCCGCATTGCGAGAATCTGGGTCTATTTTAAGGCACTGTTCATATGCTTCAATGGCCAAAGATATACTTCCAGCATCTCTGTAAAGAACCCCTAAGTTATTGTAAGCTTCAGCATACGTGGGATTTGCCACAATTGCTTTTTCTATCATGCTAGCAGCAGCATCCATTTTACCCTGAATTAATATTATCAAAATATAAAAACGATTAAAAAGAGAAGAATGTCAAATATTGTTAGATACTGAGAGATTATATTTACCTGAACTGTGTAGACTACTCCAAGGTTGTTCAAAGACTGGGAGAAATTGGGCTTGATTGATAAAGCCAACTTCAAGAGAATAAAAAATAAAAAAAAAAAAAAAAAAAAAGTATAATCTATTAAAATTAAACCAACATGTATCATTTAGACATCTGACAAGTGTAAAAAGAAATTTTAATTACCTGATAACACTCCACTGCTTTATCAAGATTGTCTCTATCTTTATATATAACTCCAAGATTATTGCATGCCTCAGCACAATGGGGATTGAAGTGGAAAGCAAGTTCATAGAATACAATTGCCTGCACAGAAATGGGATCTTAATACAATTTCTACTGAATGTATTTCTTTTATATTTTAAATAAAAGATAAAGAAAGTGGTTTAAAATTCAATGATACCATTTCAAACTTCAGCATTTCTCCATAAGCAACACCAAGATTGTACATGGCATCCGCATAATGCCAGTTATAATACAAAGCTCTTTTGTAATATGCCACACCTTGGTTAATGTCTCCCTCCAATTTGACCTAAAAAGATAACATAAGTAAAATAACTGAAAATAACAAGAATGGATGGATTAAAAATAACCATGAAATCGTTACTACCTTTGTGCCTAAATCTGTTAAAGCAATTGCCATGTTATTCTTAGCAATCTCAAAATTCGGTGACACAGCCAGACACCTGAAAAAATACAAGAAAACCATTTAAACAATTAGCAAAACAAAATAATGGTTACTTATCCCATTGGGAAATGATAAAAAGACATTTATAACCTCTCGTAACAAGCAATAGCTGATTCCAGATCTCCACGGTTTTTATAAATGACCCCCATGTTACAATATGCTTCAGCATACATTGGCCTCTCTAAAGCAGCCTTTTCATAGCAATTAAGCGCTGTATCATATTGCATCATTTCAGAATACACAACTCCAAGATTGTAATATGCAGGCTGCCATGTAAAAAAACCAAAAAGATTACCCTTGAGAATACATTAGATGGAAAGACACCTGTAAAGATGTATAAAGAACATGAAATGAAATTACAGCATAGTGAGGGTCAATCTTGATAGCATCATAATACTTCTGAATTCCATCTTGTGTGTTGCCAGCAAGCTTTAAACTTGTTCCAATATCTGTTAGTACAATTGACAAACATTCTGCTGCTGGTTTATATGATGAATCTGCCTCCAAAGCCTTACGATATGACTGCATGAGTGAATAGCAAACTTATAAAAGATAATTATAAAAAAGATAAATACAAGTATGATTCATAATGTGCAAACATACCTCAGCAGCCTCCACCAATCGACCTTCATCTTTATACAAGATACCACAATGAGTGAGTGCACATGCATTTTGTGGGTCTAACCTGACAGCTTCTGAAAAGCTCTCAAAAGACTGTCTTCCCATATTTTGCATCTGCAAGCAGATTCCTTTCCCAATATGAGCCTCAACATTGGTTTTATCTTTCTCTAGTATACTTTCATATATAACAAGAGCTTCCACAAATTTGTTTCTGGAACGAAGAACATTGGCATAACCAAGTGCATCCTTCCCTTCATATCTCTTTTCTATTGGACTAGTGGATGTTGTAGAATTGGTGACACTTAAGGACGGTTCTGTTGCTTTCAAGAAACCATTATCTTCAGTTAGGCCCTTCTCTTTCCCTCCACCAACGTCCTCTGTCAATGCCATTTCTAAACAGCTACAAACTCTGATTCATGAACCAATTGCAACATATAAACGTAGTTGATCCGCCTCAAAACCCTAATACAAGCACATGGGAGATACATCAAACTACCAATCACATATAAACCTCGAAACCCCAGCCTATTACGTTAGGGATCATGGATTTAGACTTTCCCCGAGTAATGGAAATTAAATTATTTAAAAACCTAAAAGAACATAATACGTTTTCATACGCACAATCTAATAATTACGAAAACAACTCCACGACAAAAATGCGCAAGACAAATTATGTAAACGCGCATTCGAACCGGAGGTTTGAAGTGTAAGAGCGTTTGCGATGCTTACCTGTATTGCTTCCGGAAGAGATAACACACAGAGAGGTGAGGGGCTTAAGAAGGGTTTCTTTTGTGTGTGTGACGGCAGAAGAACGAAGATGATGAAGAGTTACTTGCCACCGCTGACACCGACACGGTGGTAGGATGACTGTTGGCGAGCAACGGAGCGCCACCGCGGCGGTGGTGTTGGGCAATCAAGCAGTGGCAGGCAGCAGAAAGAGGAAACAGCAATAATCGTGTATAGTCAATTGTTAACCCTGTTCGTCTATGATTTTGCCCGCGTTCCACTGCAACCCTGGCCCGAATAATAAATAATCAAAAAAAAATTAATAATATTATTACTATATGTTTCAATAAACTACAAAATAGACTCTCAACTTTTGACATATGGACATTTTCAGTCCCTGTACCTTTCTTTTGGCTCTCTTCCATCCAACAATAATTGTTATGGCTCACGTGCGAAGCACATGACTTGCTTTTTAAAGATATATGGCCATTTTGACTTAACTACGTATAAAGCATTTAAGAGGCAAATTTTGGTTTGTATTGGATTCAATATTTCACTATTTTGTATTAATATACCCCATGTGCGGTTGACTTGGAGAATACAAGACTCCCTTCCAACAATAAATATTGATCTAGACATTTCTGATGATGTTATAAATATTAAAATATGGAAGCGGTATTTATTTATGGGATTTTGATATAATAAGGCATTGTGGGCTAACTAAGAAGATATAGTGAAAAGGTGTCTCAAAGTCGGAATCCGTGAGCTACCGTGCTACGAAAGAGTTGAGCCAAAAAAACTAGTTTTTTATTTTATTATAGGTGAGTATGTGTTAATTTGGAAGACTATTTCCACCGGGTATAAATCCACCACGAAAACAAATTACGACTTTACGATGGTCTTAACCATCACAATAAATAAATGATACAAGACGAAGAATTGGTGTTGAGAGGTCAAATCCATATGTGACAATATTTATCAACGCAAATAATCTTTTTTATTTCATAAAATGTTGAGTAAATTACAAGAATGGTCCATATAGTACAATTTATGATTCCGTTTTGTTATGGTTTTAGTCATGTGGTTAAATTTAACCCGTTCAAGTTGTTGTTTTTATTGTTGTTTATAGCCTACAACAACCATGTAAACATCCAAAATCCAATTACAAATCACTAACACAAACCATGCACAAAACACCAAAAAGGCAAAAACACAATTTTACACCCCATTTTTTCAAACACGACAAGAAAGATATGAAAAACGAGATCCATTGTTTTGTTTCCTCAACTTCCTGAGTTTTATCATTTAATTGTGAAATGAAGTATGACAATATACGGCGACGGTGTAAGTAACAATGACTATATATACAACGACCGGGGTATTGATATCCTCTCAATTTAAAATATATTGGAAGTCAATGGGTCAACAACATGCTCCGTTGGGCTGCAACATCTAGATGGCTAATGACTCGCTTAATTATGTAGTAAGCACGTGTATATGAGAATACAAAAAAGCAAATGTATATGAGAATCGTACATTCTTTACATTCATGACAAGCATGTAATTTGTCTTGTATATTGTTCTATGTCTCATCCATGTAATGGACTGTGAGATCACATTAGGGTTTCATCTCGCAAAACTCTAAGAATATGTAATTTTCACATAACAATATTTAATGTTTTGCATATCCAGATCGATCAATAAAAAATCATAATGTTCACTTATATAACCGTGCTAAATAATACTTCAAAATAAAATTAAATTGTACCTTGATTGTATATATAAAGCCCATGAGGCTAGTTATACTTTTGAAATTTCTTAGTGCCTCCAAAATATGGCCATCAGTTTTTTTTCAAATTAAGTCGTTAGTTGTTTGTGAATGTACTTTCATACTATCATACCTATGACACCACAAAATATTGAATTAAATGAAACAAATAATAACATGGCAACTGCTAAAAATGACATTAAAATGATAAATGGCATGATACTTGTTAGAAGGCATCAATATTAGATACCATGATAAGTGTCTAGTCGTTGTTGGGATGAAAATACTCTCTCCTATATAATACGCTCTCCAACATATATATGATACACACATACACGAAATCCTCATCCGGTAAGCGCCTAAGTGAGTTTTAGAAGGCATAGGATGCATGCTCTTGCTTCACCAACTCAAGTCAGTTATTAAAAAAAACATTCACTTTTTAAAGTTTGTTGAGGTCAACCAATGACCAAAATAATCCAGAAACTACAAAACCATGTTAGAATAAGGGAGAATAAGACGATTTGAAATCAAAATATTATTAGATACATGATTTATTTATAGGTTGATTCCCATAATTGATATTTTGACCATATATAGGTTGCACAATAATCAAATTCGAGATAATACACCAAAGGCACTTCAAATTTATCCATGAATTAAAAAAAATCAACATACCAGATAATGTAGGAATGTTTTGTATCTTAATATAGTTCCAAAATGTTGAATTATAAGTATAAATACTCATATTATCCAAAAATATATGAAATTGATAATATAGTGGGTTTTAGTAGTTACTAAACAATTGTGAAATAACCTTCGGACAACTCAAGTTGTGAGTTGTTTGGGAAAAACTAATTATGCAAGTTGTACAAAACAAGATTACCTTAACAACTTGATTTGTCCAAGGCAGCATGGTTGTCAGGCAGCTTAGGTTGTTAATAACTTTAGTTGTTACACAATATGAGCTGATAACAGCTTTAGTTGTCATGCAACTTGAATTATCCAAAAATTTGAGTTATCCCCGACGAGTCCTAATTTTTTCATGTTGCCCCTTAAATATTTTATTCTAATCATGGCTATCCACTTCACTTTTGATCAAAAAAAAACCCCTTGAAACATGTACGGGTGGGACACATTTATCTTATATTGTATGTAAGTGTGCATCATTCTCCACATAACTTGTATTATATCACAATTTAAGTCCTCTTTGGTACTCATGTGTAACATTCATAAAATTCATAAAAATTTAAAACTTTTCAAACATCCAAAAGCCATTAGTTCTTACAAAATGTTTTCAAAATAGTTTCATATCAGAGAATCTCATAAATCAAAGTCATAAAATGTGAGGAGGTGCACGATCAAGCCTTCGCCTTCCCACGATCATCCGATGTACCTGAAACAAAATTCACAACTGTAAGCCAGAAGCTTAGTGAGTTCCCCCAAAATACCAACGCCATACAAACCAGAACAATATCATAACAAACAGTATGCATACAAAGTCTTCAGTATGACTGGACCGCCCTCCCCGGGCCTTCATTCTATCTTGCCCACTCTCAGAACCTTCAGCATGTCTGGTCCGCCCCACCGGCCCTTCAGCCTGTCTGGACCGTTCTCCGGGCCTTCGGCCTGACTGGTACGCCCCGATGGGCCTTCAGTCTATTCGGGCTGCCCTGGGTCTGTTGGCCTAGAGCATGAAGCAGGACCGCCTCAATCCACCCGCAAACACAATCAACACATAGATATCAAACGCTAGCTAGCATGCACAGACAGTCATACAGATCTAACATATCACTAATCATAGCATCATCTTATATACCAGGATACCGATCTAATAGATCACTAAACATAGCATCATCCTATATACCAGGATACAGATCTAACAGAGCACTAAACATAGCATCATCCTATAACTAGGATACAATCCAAAAAGGGTCAGCCTTGGTGCCTTAGACCTTGTTGATATAGTGTGAAGAACTCACCTCACAATGTCGAGCCAAACTGAAAACCTACGACTGCTGACTCACTGAAAATCCCGAACTATCACAATAAACGAACACTAATCAACAGTTGGAATATAAATCTTGGCTAAGGGCCAAACATAGGGTAATAAGTTCATTCTATCCTTTCCTTAAGTTGGGCCAAGGCCCAACTCCAATTCCTTAATCCAAAAGCCCAATATATAAGGCCCATAATTGGCCCAATTTTCCAAATTGGGCCCAACTCTCTAATTGGGCCTCATCCTAAGATCTACTTCCAAAATTGGCCCAAAACACTTCTACTCATAAAGCCCAATAAGATTCCAAGTCAGCTGGCCTCAAGGTGGCCCAAATCCGAAGCCCAACTCGCAAAAACCCATCAGAGGGCGTACGTTGGGCCTACTCCGAAGCTACGCGGGGCGTACGCGAGCCTCGCGTTGACTGGAAAACGGGTACATTGACTGAGTACGTGGGGCGTACTGCTCTCTATGCAGGGCGTACCCTCGTTGTTCTCAAAACTCAAATAAGTGCTTAATAGCTTAAGCACTTAAGCCCAAATTTTAGATCCATCGACCAAATGTGTCTTAGAACCATAAAGTCTCAAACTTTAAGACTTTGAATGTCGAGAAAGTCCTTAATGCAAGGTCTTAATCCATTAAGACCTTTCTACCACTTGCATGGAACACTTATAGACATTGGGACCTCTTTTTTATCAATTAGAACCCTTCTTATGGTCTGAAAGGACAGCTTAACACATCCAAAACATAACATGCACAATATTGGGACTCTTTAGGACAATAAAGGTGTCATAAAGCTAACACGGCAATATCTACATCATATAAGCATAAAGGCAGAATCTTTTTACCTCTTGGAGCTTCTAGATGACAAGATAACCTCGGATCTTCAAGCTTGCCTCACTTCTCCAACACCTTGATGCAAATTCTTCTTCTTCAACTACTCAAAACACACACTTTTAGCACATACACTCAAGAGAGAGGTTAGGGTTTGGGGAAAACGACTCAAAACTATGGAGGCTGAAATGGTAGAGGTTTATGAGCTCATAAGTGATGGGTTTTGAGCATATCTACATTCCTATGTGATCATGCAACCCTAATTGCTTTGGATCTAAGTTTTTCTCTATTGAACATATAAATATGAACACCAAAGCCACAACCCTAGATCTAGCATATACAATTCGAAATTCATATATAAAATTAGGGTTTGATCATTACCTCACTTGTTATGTAGTAATAACAATAACCACCTTGACTCTTGAAAGCTTAGTGCCCCAAATGTTGCACCTCTGATGGAGCCACAAACACCCAACACAACAAAGATGACAATGAGAGACAAGAAATCGGCCAGGGTTTCTATCTGGAATGCATAGGGCCGAAATTCTCATGGTTTAGGAGGTTTATATAAGGCTAGGTTGCTTAGTCTTCAAGCTGGAGTTGAATAAAGAAACCTTAGTTCCTAACTTAAGCCCAAAGCAACCCATGGACCTCCTTGGTAAGCCCTTGGACGAAATCTTATGGGGAAACTGTCACACCCCCAAACCGGAACGGCGGAAATGTTCGGGGGCGGAGGACGTCATGTACAGTATCACAACAATTGTATAATAGTAATCAAAGTAACAACAACCATTTTATTAATAACATAGTATTTACATTGTGTTCAAAACATTACTTGTTTAACATTAAAACTATAGCAAAAGATGAGACGAAATGCTAATATACTTCGTCTTCGTAATGCCTGAGAAGGGTACATGTCTACTATCTTTCCTGAGAATACAAGTGGTTTGAAAAAGTGTCAATATTAAAGTTGGTGAGTTCATAA